AAAAATAATTAAAAAAATTATATATATATAAAATAAAAAAAAAATAATAAATTTTTAAATATATTTAAATTAATCTTATTTAAATAATTATATATATAAAAAATAATTAAATAAAAATTAATTTAATAAATATATAATAATAGACCCAAATACAAGATACAATGGCCATATAAATAGGCCCAACAGAAAATAATGCGCAAAGTCTAAAATGCCCCTTGGGGCTACACAAGCAACTATTACCCTCAGGGGTAAAATGGGAAACTACGAAAATACAATCATAAAATGAAAACTGAAAATACAAGTGAGATCAAAAATAAAGGCTAGCAATCTCGGCCGTCGATCTCCGTGGTCGTCTCTGATAAGCGCGCCGAAATCTCCTATCGATGACCTCATCACCTAAATTATATTTAATTTACTTAAGATTTCATGGGTAGAAGTTTTGCAAAATGATTTGCAAATAATAGATCTAATTGTAATGCAAAATGAGGATTCACAAAGTTGACTCTAAATAGCTAATGTTAGGCCTATGTTGCACTGATACACCTATTTATGAAGGCGTGCTGTATCCGATACACCGATACACGGATACGCCTCCGATACTCCACCGATACGTGTCGGATACGCCAAAGCCGTATCCAATTAAAATACTATTTAATTTCAAAAGGACATGTGTATCCGATACACGTGTCCGTTGAAAAACAAAAAGAAATCTGAAAAAAAAGATGTGTCGTATTTACTTCCACAGTTGCGAGCAAGATTCTCTCATTTTCGAGATGGATTTGAGTCTCTTGATGATATGAAAATATTAAAATTTACTAATCTTTCACTTGATCTGCCTGAATTAGAAGCTATGATATTTATTGAAGATGATATAGAAGTTCAAAGACAAACCAATGAAGAAGATAATTATATAATTCCCTCTATTGAATAGTTGAAACTTCAAGTGCTAGATAATTTATGTTTATGCTTTTGTTGTTGTACTAGGCATTTAATGCTTGCTTATATTTTGATATTATAAGCTACAAGGCTACAAATGATGTTGTTGTCATTTTTTTTTTTTGTAATTTCAAATATTATGCTTTGTTTGCTTTCTTAATTTTTATGTATGATTTATAAATTATAATGCCGTGTCCACGCCGTAACCGTATCCTGTATTTTTAAGAATTGACGTGTCCCGTATCCGTATCGTGTCGTATCCGTGTCGCCATATCCGTATCGGTGCAACATAGTGTTAGGCTAATGATGATGATGGTAATAGTGGAGTATGTGATGTCTAAGTAATTGACACTAATTTGGGATCATTTTGGACAATTCTTTTATTTAACAGTAGTTGATGAAAACAGGAGCATGTTCATATTTTTATTTATTTTTCTATCAAGGGGATCTTATAGGTTGATTGTTGGATAATGTGCTATGCTATACTGTATAGCACATGTGTGATGCACCTCCAATTTCAAAATTACAATGGTAAATAGAATCAATTATATCAACGTGCAATAATTATATTTTTTTATTCTGTTTTCTTCCCCATTTATTGATTGACAATCTTTCATTTCACACCTTCATAACTTCGGTAAAACATTCCAACAAGCAGTCCTTGAACTCCCTCCATTTCTGTATAGGCCACCTTATGTCTCTCCACTGGTACAAGGTCAATTCCTTCCCCTCCAAACACAGGCCAGTTGTCGTCAGTCTTTTTACTCCATCAACCCATTGACGTTGAAGTACCTCTCCACCTTGTAGATCCACCCGTGTGTATCCTCTCATTCAAAGATAGGTATCTTCAACTTCCTTACCCTCGGTCATCTCTGTTTCCCCTGATTCCTCCATAACCTCCTATTCCCCGAGGGGGTCATCCCCCCCAAGTGTCCCGATCCTCTCTTCTATACTCATTCCCAAACCCTTCAAAATTTCCCCTTCTTTCAAAATCAGTACCCCTTCGCTAAATTTCCCCTTCTTTCAAAATCAGTACCCCTTCGCTCAAAATCAGTCATTCTTCCTACAAAATCAACATCCCTCTACTCATACCCACTATTCATCTCCTCTGTAGAAATAGGTTCTAGGGGAGGCATCCAATCCTATCCCTCCAATATTTCTACCTCTTGATTTCTCCTCTCCTTATTTGATTCGGATTTCTACCACTTCCTTGGTCGTCGGTTGCTCTCCTCGCCTTCGATGACATCGTTTTGGGTTGGGCCTCAAGCAACTTAACATTTCTTCCTCAATGGCGAACTTACCATCCATTTTTTCATGGACAGATAAAAATTGATTTTCAAATTTTAAAATCTTCTCCACAAAATATGATTTTAATTGGCCTATCTCTCCTTCCAATTCTTCATTTTTTCTTCCGGCCATAGGGGCCTTGAGTCGAGGGCTATGATATCAATTTGATAGAAAATACTCTAATAGTAAGTGAACTCTTGGTTGAATTTGAATTTTAACAAACCCCAAACAGTAAAAAGAGAAAAGATTTAGGTAGAAACTCACAAAAGGATGTTTTAATTGGTGGTAGGAAGAAGAAAACAAATAAGATACAATGAATCATCAACTTGAGAGGAAAATTCAGCTCTCCCAAACCCTAGCTGCCCACTAGATCCCCTCTTTCTCCTTAGGAAAACAAAACTCAGCAAAATATTCGATAAAACAAATCCTATGAGACAAACCTAGTAAAAGATACAAAAATTCCCCCCAATTCCAAAATGGCCCCTCAATTTGAAATTTTCCCTTCTAAACTCTCTTTAATTTCTCATTAATGTGGATGCTGGACCCCATCCTCAAAGGGGACGACAATGGCTGGGGCATAACCTCTGTTCCGCCGTTGGTAAACCAAGGCCGATTCAGGATGGATCGGTTGGACCGGTCTAACATAATACTTAAAAAAATCTGATATTTTGAAAAAAATTTATCATTTTAAATAATATTAAAATTAAATCTTTGTAATAATTATTTTGGTATATTTTAATTAATTGTGTTCATTTCTCTTTGGCATGCTTTGTAAATATTATCTTAAATATCTTTACCTTGAAATGTAATTCTTAGACACTACATTTGGCACCTTTGATCTGTGCACTTTGTACTTGAATATTCATGATAATTTTTTTGTTATCTTTCTCCCAATAAACAAAGCTCAATTTGGTCCAGCTCTAAGTAATCAGAAGTCCAACTCGTTCGATCTCTAAGTGAATAAATCTCCAAGGTAATCTATCATATAATATCATCATCCCCATGGTTGAGATTTTAAAAGTAACTTGTAACCGGTAGAAATATTTAACAAAACTACATTAGATGACACATCATAATTTGTTTGTAATCATCAAATGAATAATGACTACACGAGTCACATGAACTCATGAGGTCAACATCATCTTTAATAATGTTTTTGTTCTGGTTATTTCTATAGTCGTCTCTGATTGTCTATCCTAAAGAAACTTTCCCACGGTTCATGTTACCTATGACTTATTCCCCACTTCCCCTTCTATATATATGTCACTAAATTGAGTTTTTATTTTTATATTTTTGGATTATAAATTTCTCTCTGGTCAAGGCTTTTTAGAAATGCATCTGTTCCATATTGATAATTAAACAATTGAAAAACTTTGGATGTGGATCATTCTGTTCTCTTTTTGTGGTAGAATGTGAGTGCTTTCTATTGGTCAGCATTATTTTTGGATTTTGTCATTAAAGTTGTTGAAGCTTGTATGAATAAATCTTCTAAATTGTGCTGATCACAAAAGGTTATAGTTGAAGCTAATTATAATCGATAAAAGTTAACTATGCTCTGATGTTTGGTTGAGTTGTATTTAAATATGTTTGATCAAGGGCCCGTCGCTTGTACTGCTGCAAGTTGTACTTAATTGGCTCCTTTGACAGGGTTCCGTTCAATTATATATATTTTTGTTTTTTATGCTTATATTCTATGTCCTTGGCAACTATTTATTGGTTTCTTTTTTAATTTCAGCTATTAAACTGTAATTCAAGTAGTTCAGGTGCAGTCGAAACAGTCCTTGTACGTTACAGTTATGATATCTTCAGGAAATTTACATCTTAATTCCACTTGTTCAAAATTACTTTGCATTGTTTGCAGGAGCCTGAATCGGCTGTAGCTGGAGATGCTACCACGTCAGGCAAAAGGAAATACAACTTAGTTCCATTACAAAAGAAGGACACTGGCCTTGCCAAATCATTTCAAAAGATCAAGGAAACTAGTGCGGTAAGTACAATATATAAAACATTTTTTTGAGCAACTTTTCCAATGACATATTCCGTTCATAACATAATTTTTCAGCGACTACACTGTTTTAATCAACTTATTGTGTAACAGTTAGCAATGCTTGTCTCTAGACATTGCTAGATGCCAGAAATATTTTAAGTAGTGTTTATTTTAACAGAATAGTTTGCAACCAAGAATATCAGCTTATAATTGATGAGTAGAAGCCAAAGTAAGAAAAGTAAGAGTACTTTATTCTAAGAAACTAAATACGTAAAACTATTCTATGTTGGTCCTTATATATTGAAATTAAATTTGTGTTAAAGTTGACTAATTTTGTTGAGGAAGTTAGGGTTTACATTCCAATAACACAAAATTGAGAAAATGTCCAGGAAGGTGAGGACTTGTGACGTAATTAAAAAGAGTATTAGCCTAAGACTATAGATCTTGGATGGAACCGCCGACATGTAGTAGCAAACCTAAATCTACCAAAATGAATGAAACTTACAAACATGAAATCTCATTTGAGATTATGTCAGCTCGACCTCTGGTCTTCCAATCATGGATGATAGCTAGTTAAATTCACTTTAGCACTTTTAAAATCATACAATCTTGATCTCAAAGCATATATAAAATTGGCAAGACTATTTTAATTTTTAGGAAAGAGAAGTTATGATTAAGCCATTTAAACTAAGATATGACTAATCATTAGGGTAATGTATAGGCTAACTCATAATACAATTTTTTTCTTAGTCCTTAATGGGAGGGCTTTTATTTTTATATATATGACTTATGAGGCTATGCATTCGTTGTTCATCAGTGAATACATGGGTTTGAAGTTGATTTTGAATTAACACACCATTGGATAAACAATTAGTCAAATATTGGATTGTCTACTAAAATTCATAAGAAGACTTCGTATTTTATTTTAGTTTTGAAAAAGTCATCTTATTTTTTGATATGCATGTTTATTACAAAATATTACTCAATGGTTGATTTTAATATTTTACTGTGTAGAAAATTTAATTCTCTAAAAGCATATCCAGGCTACCCCTAAGCAAAACATTATAATAAATCTAAGAAAAAACATATATTTTTAATGCGCACTTAAAAATAAATAAGTACTTGATCCTAGAAAATCAATCACAAAATAATATAGAAACATTTTATATGCAACCAAGAAAATATTAAGGGCAGCAGGGTTGCTGTCTTATACAATTCAGTTGAATTTACAGGCTCAGCTTATGAGTTTTCAAGTTTTGGTTCCAATACATCTAGGGATTTACTTTAGAGTTCATTCTTCTAGTTTATCACTTCGTTATTGTATCCCACAAACCTATATAACTTTCTAAAATTATAAATGAATTACATTTATAAAGTAAAAAATGAAACTCTTCTCTGCACAATGAGAATTAGGAAGCATGTAATGTCGTATACATCGCATCATGCACAAATTTGTCTGGCACTGATGGTGACAAATTGTTATTTTAATGTTTTTCATGCCTATTAGAGCTTTAGCATATAAGCAGCACCTGTAAGCCAATATTATTAAATGATAACTTATTAATTTGTTTATCTCTTTTGGGAAAACCCACGTAAATAAGTAGATTTTCCTTTCCTAACCCTTAAGGGAAGTGGCCCATGCTCTATAGAGCATAACATAGGAAATAATGAAAAATCATTTCATTTTTTTAGTTGGAACTTTATGTGGTTCTTGAAAAAAGATAGCGAAAAAAATTATCCCTAAAGTCATAATTAAGAGGAATTTATAAACCAGTGCTTCCATAGATTCGATCATGATTTATAATTATAGTTTCTACACAGAGGAGGTAGTCGATCCAACCTGACAGAAGGATCCTTGTCGGCAGCCATGGGTTGCTTCGTCCAAGGGGACCTTGTAGATCTGGGGGGAATGCTTGTCTAAAGGGACAAATTTGAATCCACCTTAGCTAACAAAGGGCTTTGTGCCCTATCGATCATATCTTATTGATTTATATCTCAAGAATTTGATGTCATTAAGAAACGCATTGGCTATAGCCATAACCGGTATTTCGTGGTGCCATTTGGCGGCAAAACCACTCGGTTCAGAGGGCCCAGTGTCATAACCGTTTATCCTGCGGTGCCATTTGGCGGCAAAACCATCGGTTAGAGGACACGTACCACGTTCTTACTAGCAGGAGATTATTTGAGAATGGATTCTAGTGATATTTTCAATCAGGCATTAACTCTTTGTGAGCTGAAGTAAATTTTAATTTGTCCACCTCGATAAACTGTTGCGGATGGTGGATGGATTTTGCTTTAAGTATTTGGATGATTTTATTTCAATTTTTAAATATTTTGGATTTTTTTGATAGCATTTTGGAATATTTAAAATGGACCCCTCAACCATTTATTTGTTTAATGGTTCGAACCTTGTCGACTCATATTGACCCGTATAGAAGGATCGGGTTCGAACTTGAATTCACTTATCGACCCGTGCAGCATCCCTGGACGTCACGTGTATACCAATAACACGCTCGTCGGGGCCCATGCGGGTGTTTGGTGGTATTTTTATTTTTAGACTGAACTTTGTCAACTCGACCAAGCTGTTGATCGAGGATCGGGTTTCTCGTAGGCTTTGTGCCTTTATTAGTGAATTTTTTTTATTATAGGCCTTGAAGGACTAATATGAATGTATTAAAACAAGTATATCAGTTGTCGTGATCGTATATTTGTTTGATGGTTCGCAACCTGTCAACTCCTATTGATTCATATAAAAGGATCGGATTCAAACTTGAATGCACTTATCGACCCGCGCAACATCCCTAGACGTCACGTGTGTACTAATAACACGCTCGCCGGGGCCTATGTGGGTTCTATGATTTCTTTTACCCCTTTTAGTGTACCTATGTGTATACAAACTATGGTGCACGTGCGGGGGTACTTTGAAAGTATTTGTATACACCTTTTGTCCGTTTGCATAGAAGTTGCGGATTCAGTGGCGTTTTGTAGCAGCTTCTGGATTGAGTTGTTTGCTACTTTGTACAGGTAGACTATCGTGCACTACTTGTATGATTTATGCAGGTAGATTGTAGTGCACTAACTAATCTCCTGTCTTACATTTGTAGATGCTTGTAGATATTATGTGGTATATAGTAGGTCTTATACGACATTTTGTAAATGCTCTTATCTGCTACAGTTCTCTTTTGTATTTACCCTGCAGGTAACATATCAGGTGTACGACAGCTCTTTTATAACGACTTGTAAATATTTTGCACTTGTCGTATCTCATTTGCTTCTGCTTGCAAATAGCATGTAGTATGTATAACGAGTACTCTACAACCCTTTGGATATTTATACTTCACTATATATCATCTATCCTTGCTTATAGAGGGTTGGTGCATTTGACTGATGTTGGACAATTATTGACCATGGAGATGTTATAGTGTCTTTATCACAACAATTGGTAGATAACTTGAATGTGCTACGGACATGATGTCTCTTGCACCATTCTTCATGTACTTGATTGTAAACATGTCTTCTATACTCATTCGTGGGCAAGTTGTATTGTCTTATACTATTTATATCTCTTCGTTAGTGTCCCTAGGTGGACGTAGAAAAGATTACTACAATCTTCTTACATGCTCTTATCAATTTCATTGTTTGCAAGCTTGGATACATTTGATTGCATGAGTCTTCATCATCATTTGTGAGTAAATGATGTTTGTAGATTCTATAGTCATTGCAAGTCTTCCTTTTCACCACAAATTTCATATGTATTCCTTTGTATTTAGTTTGGACATTTGTTGGTATGATAGCACCTTGATGTTGATTGAAGACTTTGCCATGTTGATTGTGAGCATGCCATATTGAAAATTCTTTGTCATTCAATACAAATTCTATGTTTATTTACTTGTACTCAATTATGAGCTCATCACTTGCATGCATATCTTCATAACTGTTGCAACTATCAAATCCTTTCCATTAGCATGAATATTGTGAGTGTTGCATACTAGTTACCACCATTTATGGATGACTTGCAATGTTCATTGAAGATTCTATGTATTTGCTTGCTTATAGTTGATCAACATTATCACTTTGATTTTAGTACTTTCATTTTTGATCTTATATTTGTTGATTCTAAATTTTAATTCCATGGGGTCCTGAAAGTTCAATTCTTGTTGTCTAAATCAAGTTCTTGCTTGAGTTCAAGTAGCAAGCTTAAGTTCTACGTCCCCTGCTTTCCAAATGTTATTCGAATTTTGTTCAAATCTGAGTCCGAGTTCAAATTCAAGTTCTCCATCATTTGAGTTCAAGTCCAAGTGTTGTCAACTTGATTCAAGTTCTGAGTATAGTTCCAAATGGTCAACTTGTATGTTAAGTTCAATTTTAACTTCAAGTTTGAGTCTTTATTTAAGCTTGAATCCAAGTTTTCATTCAAGTCCTTGTGATTTATTTAAGCTTGGATTTGTTTTAGATTTGAGTTTATTGCATTAAAGTTCACAAGTCCGAGTTCATCATTGTTCTTTTGAGTTCAAATGAGTCCAGGTACAGTCTCGCGTTCACCCAAGATTTCGGCAGCCTCCTAACGTCTCTCCCGTTTAGGGGAAAACTACGAGAAAACTAGACCTTTCCCACCACGCGCAATAAAGGCGTGTATGGTAGGTGTCCTCGGACGAGGACACTACGGCCGTGATCTTTCTTCCCACCATGCGCAATAAAGGCGCGTATGGGGTCTTTGACGATACATGTTTAAAAGACACAATTTGCTTTCCCCCCGCTCGGGGGTACTTATAAGTGAATCCGCCTCGCCGTATGTGCCGCACCGGGGATAAATAATTATAATTAATCATAAATACTAATAATTATAATTAATTAATAATTAATTATAAATATTAATAATTATAATTAATTATAATATTATTTAAAAAAATCCTTCTCTCCCCCCTTTGGCATTTTCAGGGGATTTGACCAAAAGCGAACGAAAGGGAGAGAGTTACCTTCACAACCCGTGAGCTCCTATTGTTATTTCTGATTCAACAGAGAAGGGAACGTCGGAGATGGAGCGTAGCCAAGCGGCAACGAGGGAGGTAGGGGAATCTCTCTCTCTCTCTCTCTCTCTCTCTCTCTGTTGGACTGAAGGAACCGAGAGGATCGGGATGGAGGGAGCTCGACGAAGTTCGGTTGCAAGAGGGGAGATCGGGATCAGGGAAGTAGTGACGGGAGTGGGAGTTCGGCCGTGGCTTTGGGTTTGCGGTCGGCTTGTGTAGATTTGCGGGAGAGGAGTGATAGAGCAGCGAATGGGGAGCTCGATCGCGGGAGGAGTTCGGTTGGAGTCCGGCTGGAGTCGAGTGGGAAGAACAGAGGTATCGGGAGAGAGATGCTCGTATCGGTGGAATAGAATGGGAGAGCCGAATGCTTCATTTGAGTCGATATTTAACGACTCTAAGGGAGGTGCGATCTAGGCTGGATTCGTGAGATTCACGGGAGGCGACGTAAGCGGCGCCGAAGGAACAGTGCCTCGGCGGGATTCCTTGCGGGATTTGCGGGATCGTATACGAGATGAGCTGCTTTTTTTTGTTCTGTTGGTTAATACTTAGAGGTCAACAGGTTCCAATACATCTATGTTGCACCGACACAGATACGACGACACGGATACGATACGATATGGATAAGAGACACGTCAATTCTTAAAAATACAGGATACGGGTACGGCGCGGACACGGCATTATAATTTATAAATCATACATAAAAATTAAGAAAGCAATCAAAACATAATATTTGAAATTACAAAAAAAATGGCAACAACATCATTTGTAGCATTGTAGCTTATAATATCAAAATATAAGTAAGTATTAAATGTCTAGTACAACAACAAAAGCATAAACATAAATTATCTAGCACATGAAGTTTCAACTATTCAATAGAAGGAATGATATAATTATCTTCTTCATTGGTTTGTCTTTGAACTTCCATATCATCTTCAATAAATATCATAGCTTCTAATTCAGGCTCATCAAGTGAAAGATTAATAATTTTTAATATTTTCATATCATCAAGAGACTCAAATCCATCTCGGAAATGAGAGAATCTTGCTCGCAACCGCGGAAGTAAATACGACACGTCTTATTTTCAGATTTCTTTTTGTTTTTCAATGGACACGCATATCGGATACGCGTGTCCTTTTGAAATTAAATAGTATTTTAATTGGATATGGCTTTGGCGTATCCGACACGTATCGATGGAGTATCAGAGGCGTATCTGTGTATCGGATACAGCACGCCTTCATAAATAGGTGTATCGGTGCAACATAGCAATACATCTAGGGATTTACTTTAGAGTTTATTCTTCTAGTTTATCTCATCGTTATTGTATCCCACAAACCTATATAACTTTCTAAAATTATAAATGAATTACATTTATAAAGTAAAAAATGAAACTCTTCTCTGCACAATGAGAATTAGGAAGCATGTAATGTCGTATACATCGCATCATGCACAAATTTGTCTGGCACTCATGGTGACAAATTGTTATTTTTAAGTTGTTCATGCCTACTTAGAGCTTTAGCATATAAGCAGCACCTGTAAGCCAATATTATTAAATGATAACTTATTAATTTGTTTATCTCTTTGGGAAAACCCACGTAAATAAGTAGATTTTCCTTTCCTAACCCTTAAGGAAAGTGGCCCATGCTCTATATAGCATAACATAGGAAATAATGAAAAATCATTTCATTTTTTTAGTTGGAACTTTATGTGGTTCTTGAAAAAAGATAGCGAAAAAAATTATCCCTAAAGTCATAATTAAGAGGAATTTATAAACCTGTGCTTCCATAGATTCGATCATGATTTATAATTATAGTTTCTACACCTATTCGTTTTGGATCTTTTACTAAAGAAATACTAAATTGAGATTTATAATTTACTATTACTAACTATTACTATCTATATAATTTGTATATAGAATAGAATATATAGTCATATCATAATTATTTATTTATTTAACGAAATATCACAATTACATACATAGAAAAGGAAAATATTGCTCTTAAGATGTCTAAGGAATCAACACACTCCTCCATTCATCTGGTGTATATAATTTTTTTTGCTTTCTTTTGATTATAATGTTAAAAAAATTCTTGCTTTTACCATGAATTTTGTATTTTATGCAGTCTGCACTTCCAGTTTTTTTAGTTATTTTTTATATGCACATATCGGGAAATGTAAGGTCATTTATTATGGATTTTGGAATATTTATTAGAAGTGAATAATTTGGATTTCTTGTATTCAGGATGTGTGGCAGGGAACTCAGTTGTTAGCCATTGATGTAGTAGCTGCCTTGGTTTTATTGAAAAGAACAATAACAGGAGATGAACTCACAGAGAAGGAAAAGAAGGCTCTCCGAAGGACTTTGACTGACTTGGCATCTGTTGTCCCTATCGGTTTTCTCATGCTTCTACCTGTGAGTTTTTCAAAACTTCATCCTGTGAGTTTTTTCCTGGATAATTTGAAGGCTTAAGTTTTGCTGTGATTTCCAATGCTTGAACTTTTTTTCTTTTGCTTAGAATTTTGGAATTACACTGATGCAGGATGATTGAGGATTAGATTTGATAACGCAACTAAGAAGCATGGTGGGCCTTTTTGTGAGGAAATTAAGGCAATCACAAATCACCAGTAATCAGTTAATTTGAGAAAGCAATTTTACAATAATCAATTAAAGAAAAAAGTTATACTAATGTTTAAATGGAAAGAGAGTAGAATCCATTGAATAAATTGTTTGCTTATAAAATCAGGTTAAATAAGACATTGAAATTTCAGTTTGTAGATATTAGAGCAAGTGCGATGCATAATTTTAAATACTTAAACTTTTTTACAATCAAAGATTATAGATGAAATTGTTTCTGAGCTTAAATGTATCATCATTTTATCACTTGGCTTAAATTCTGCATCTCTCCTATTCACATCGATAAAATCTTGTTAGTCATAATTAGTAGATAGTTCTCTACGAATATCCTTATATATATATATATATATATATATAGTGCAAATATGCTCAGCCTAGGTTCTACAGGAATTTCAATAAGTTCTATAAGTTCTCTAGGCTGATACTCTATGATAGTTTCAATTGGACTTAATGGCCCTATGACAAATTAGTTGCTTGCAAACTTAGTTGTCGTGAGCAATATCAAACCCCACAAAAGGCATTGTCTTTTATTAAACAATGTCATAGACCTATCAAGCATATGATTACCAATTGAGTTCCAAATAATTTTGAAAATGATAAGCAATTTAAAATTTAAATTGCGTTTCTTCTTTTTTTTCATAGAATTTTTTAGAAATAACATGAATCTCACATCTAGATAAGATTGATAAACCATGTAATTTAACTACGTCATTAAAACATAATTTAACAACGTGGCATGTATAAGCAATTTATGACATGAAATCATTTTATTGGTGGATGCATTTGGATAACTCTATTTTGATTCTAAAATTGTCATCACTCGACTCTGAGTGCTTCGAATGCTAAGTCGGGAACAACAATCAGACTAATTCTTTCAACATTAACTAAAACAATCAAATAAAATGCCATCCAAAATCTTAGAAAAAGTCACTAATCATCAATTTCTAGTTGAACATGTGTAATGCAAGTCTTATCTATTTTCGTTTGAACCTCTTCTTTTGTACACAAATTCTTTTCAATTAGTCATTTACTTAATTGATGATTTACCTGAAATATTTAATTTAGTCAGTTGAGTTTCCATCATCAAATTCAGTGGTTGCTTATAGTAAAATGTATTTTGTAGTTATGATTTATTGTTTATGATGCGGAGCATTACAGCCAGCACCACGGGTGCTCACACTCCTTTTTACCTTACCGTTATTTTTGCAGCTTTCTGTTAGTAGTACTGTTGCTCCACTCACTAGTTTTCCACTCATTAGTTTTCCCTTATTTAGCTATATGTGCAGGCAGCTCCTTTTATCTAGTATCTAATTTTAGTAATAGCTTTGTATATCATCTCCGGTAGAAGATGATACCAGCAGTTGATGAAATATACTCTTTGGCCTTAGCCATTACTGTTCCATTGCCTTCATTACTGTTTATCCCTTGTGAACCTGCTTCTTCCTCAGTATACCTCTTCAATTTACTTTTCATATTAAAAATAAACATGAACATTTGCACTTGTAATCTTTATTTTACATAAATACTCTTTAATTTTAAAATTTTCAACTTTAAATTTTTAATAAGTCATCTATTCAAGAGCAGCATCTAAAATTTTGTATCAATAAGGTTCATTTTCATTTTTCTTTACAACATTTTTTAGTTTTCGTGCACAAGTACATTACTTTCCCATCTAATTCCGTACATGTTTAATTTCTCTATTTGTTTCATTACATTATTTTAATATCATGATTTATTCTTTCCAATAAAATTTATACATACATTTGAATATCAATATATTTTCATCACATTTTATGTGCATTGTATTCAAACACCTTTTTTCATCATTTTAATGTAATACAATATTACTAAATTTAGCAACTATACATATCAGATATTGCATCACGAAATGCATTGAATTAATAATTTAAATGCAATTGTTATAAAATAAAAATGTAATCACCCACCTGACTTTGTTTTTGACATTGAGCTTTCCACTTTTATGTTTTCTTAAGTTCTTAATTGTTCTTCCGAAATGCACAACCTAATTATTAGGTACATGGTTAAGCCAGCTAAGTTAGAAATATATCTAGATGAAAATTTTCAATTAATTGTCAATAACATTTTCAACCCTTAAATTTTTCTAGAACTCGCTTGATTTCAATGCTTTTCCTTGACTGTTCTGCTCAGTTTGTAACTGCCTAAAACAGTATTAGCAGTCTTAACCATCATAAAAAATAATGCCAGAGGTGTTGAACGTTGCTAAGGGCAACATGGAACGCAGTGAACATTATCAATGACAACATCAAACATTGCCAAACACAACGTTGAATGTATCCAATTATTGAGTCATACTCCTAATTGCATTGTATATTATATTATATAAAAGAAAATTGAAATGATTAATTGAATTGCATTTCTCCAATTATTTCCTCTTCTCTTCGAGTCAAGATCGCACATATCAATACATATTCAGATATTATTCTTCTTTGCTGTTGAATAAAATTTTATAAATTAAATTAACAAATTTGAATTATAATTTCCTTCTCAAATAAGGAATTTAAATATCCTAGATCTCTTTCTCACTGCCTCCTACTCCATTCGAATCAGATTGCATGGCACTTCTTTTTCTTTTTTATTTCAATTTCATCCAAACAGTCAAACCGACTCCTATTTATTTTTCTCTATCGATCGAAGTTTCAACGGACTGCAGACCCTCCATCTTTTTCGAATAGTAATAAAACGATTGCAAGTTCTTGCACCTCCTTCGCCTCCGACTTCACCAAATCACTTTAAGCTAAAGTCAGACTAACGAAAATAATAATAATAAAATAAACTAAACAATTCCTTCCTGTCGAGATGCACAAAGTCATTTTCTCTTTTTCAACAATAGTCTTGGATCGCACGGTGCGTCTCTGTCTTTGTAGCTGGAACCCACAAACAACACACAAGTTGGCACGAAAACTTCTCCTTCCTCTCCTGTACCTTGAACTCTTCCTAATTGAGCGAACCGGACTTTCCTCACGTGAGGAGTCGCATTCGATTCTGCCCCAAATGACGTTCTCGGCGTTCGCTGCGATTTGCTCCCCCACGCGCATGCTTCATTGTGGTTCAACTGAACTGATTCGACTGAAATGTTCCAGCCGACTACTACAGAAATTGCCATGCAATGGATGTAGATTATCATCTTGAATTCTTTTTATTTTTTTTTTGTAAACAAGCTTTCTGATGTATTTTTTTCTCATTTAATTGTAGGTCACAGCAGTGGGCCATGCAGCCATGCTTGCTGCAATTCAGAGATACGTGCCTTCTCTGGTATGGAGTGAAAAATGTGAACTCCATCGTCTTTTATCCCAAATGCTTCCTAACTCTCTGTTCTGCAAACCATGTGGTTGATTCTTGGTAGATTCCATCCACCTACGCCCGAGATAGGCTAGATCTCTTGAGACAACTTGAGAAAGTGAAGGAGTTGGAGGCTGGCGAGGAGGGGGACTCCGAGGAAGGCATGCATGCGGTTAGTTCCACCAGCAGCAGCAGGGGCAATCCTGAATAGCGTGCTGTAAGTTTCGGGTAATTATTGATTCCAAATGGAAAATATGATATTAATTTACTCTATACGGTGTTTATGCATTTTCTTACTTTTTATAAATTGCATTTATTTACCCCTCATTTTAAAGTCCTGTTTATACTATGCATCTGCTATGAGTGTTTGAATGACAAATTGTAATAATATATAAGAACATTGATCTTGATCATATATATATGCTTTTGATTTCATAGTTTTATTTTGAGCTCTCACTTTGTTTAGGTTATTGTAGCGGTGCCGTAGATGGTGATTTGACTGCTGCACTGCTGCTGCCGCTTGGAAAGTGAAAATTGGTAAATTTATCAATCACTTAACAAAACTATTGTAAACATAGATATTGTGAAATTTATATATAATTTTTCTTGGTCTCATTATAGTTATTTCTAGCGCATTGTTTATTGCTGTATATTAAACTTAAATTCTGAATACTTAGTCATTAAGGACATATATGCAGGAGCTGTTATTTGTGCTCAAACACAAGATGATTTGACCAAGTTTTTTCCTATTTAAATTGGATTACATCAGGGATTAACCTTAAGCCCATATCTTTTTGCTTTAGTCATGGATGTTCTCACTAAACATTTGCAAGAGGTTATACCTTGGTGTATGCTTTTTGCTGATGATATTCTTCTTGTTGATAAGAATAGACAGCGAGTTGAAGGTAAACTTGAATTATGGGGGTCAACCTTAGAGTCTAAAGGCTTTCGTTTGACTAGGTCTAAAAATGAATATATGGAGTGTAATTTTAGTAATAATGGATCTAGTGGGGGGATTGTGACTTTGGCGATCAAGTCATTAATAAGAGTACACGTTTTAGATATCTTGGATCTATTGTTCAGAGTGATGGTGAAATAGATGGGGATATTATTAGTAGAATTCAAGTTAGATAGTTGAAGTGGAGGAATGCATCAGGCTTGTTACTTGATAGAAAAGTTTCTCTCAAACTTAATTCTATAAGATGGTATATAATGAGACCTGCAATGCTTTATGGTTTAGAATGTTGGCCATTAAAAGAGAAGCATAATATTAATTTAAGTTTTGCACAATTGCAGAGATGAGGATGCTTAGGTGGATGAGTGGCTTTACTCTTAAAGACAACATATGAAATGAGCATATACGTGAAAAGTTTGGAGTAGCTCCAGTGGAAGATAAGATTAGAGAGGTCTCCTTAGATGGTTTGGTCACATAAAATGGCAGCCTTCCGATGACCCGGTTAGGAAATTAGATGTATTAGATTTGACTCATATTAAGAAATGTAGAGGTAGACTTAAAAAGACATGGTTAGAAAATATTAGAAATGACATTTATTTGATTTAGATGAGAATTTGACCCTTGAGAGGACACAATTAAAAGATTCATGTAGTTGACTCCTCATAGTGGGATAAAGGTTTGTTGTTGTATTAAACTTAAAATTCTCATCTACTGTTTTTCTCATTAAGGCTTCATTTGTAACAGCTTTCTTATTATTTTTTAAAGTAGTCTTTTAATTTAAAAAAATTTGTTCTAAAAAATTGTTTAAAGAAATAATAAGTCATCCTAAAGTTCTCTGAATTATTGTTTTGACTAGGAAGCATCGTCAGCTAACTTATTCTGGTAATTTTCGTCAGCTAACTTATTCTGGTAATTTGATCTGATCTGACAGTCGTTTTTGGATTTTTTTTTTATCTGATTAAAAAAAAACGTAAGAATGGTGTATAGGTTCATTTTATGGATGAGAAGTTGATGCAAAGGATAATAATTGCAGATTAAGTATTTTTGTAGTATTAATGAGATGGCTTTATTTATTCGATGTAGTGGTGTCCTTCAGCTTATTTTTTGGGCAGAAATCTTAGGTTTAAAACCTAGTGGTTGTTATATGGAGGATTATTTTAACCCTGCGTGGATTTACTATTGGATTATGTTAAAAAAAAAAATTTAGTCGTGTTATCATTATTAAATGTCTGCGATAAATTTCTATATTAAAATAACTCTTAGGCTTATGAACAAGTGAAAAGCTTAGGATAACTTATAAAAAAATTATGAAATAATTCTCATAAAAGTGATGTGAACATTTTTAATCTCAAAAATTTTAAATGTTGCACGGTAAGTATCTACTACATATAAAAATTTACATGACAAAATTATACAACTTCTATTAACTCTTAAATTTGATTAATTAATATAACATTGTGTTAGCGTAGGAAATGAAGGTAATGAAATCTTCTCGATGAAGATGAGATTGTGATGGATCTTGTCAAATATGAGAAAGCCATAGTAGGGTCTTGTTGGGAAGAAGCATCAACCGTCATCCTCTTCTTTTTCCATTCTTTTTCCATTGGGAAAAGTTTTCATTGATGAAGAAAGTTGCAATGGAATGTCATCATAAAAAGTTTTGAGTCTTAATAGATATTGATATTTAAATATTAAATATATAAATTATATAATTCTCTGTGATGTGTATAATTTCCGTCAAAATTTATCATCATGGAAAAAAATGAAATGTAATCAAATCTCCAAATTTGTTTGATGCTCGCTATTGAAAATACATTGTTATATTAAATAGTTCTCAGCTGTACGAAAGCAAAAAATAATTAATATTTTTGCTCCTGTTTTGCAGTGTTTTTTTTTTTTTTTAATTAATGAACAAGGATAATTATTTTGTCTAGAGAGAGCCTGATTTTGCAGTGTTTTTTTTTATATAAAAATAATGAACAATGATATGTATTTTGTCTAGAGAGAACCTGAAGTAGTGTTAAATTTCTCTAGCATATATTTAATTTGAGTTATTATAATATTTTCTCCACAATGGAAGAGTACAATCAGATTTTGCAATCCTTTCTGTAAATGTAGCTTTTAGGGAAAAAAACAGTGGAGCATCAAAATATTTTACTTGAAAAGAAGCATCCACCTTTTTTGTGACGAGGAAGCACTGTTCTTAGGCCAGTGAAAATCCTGATCGACCTAGCATGCAACCCACACCAATTTACACAGGCCAACACTTAAGGCTTTCACTGCTTGCTAAGGGATTCGAACTAGGAACCTAGGCTTTGCCCAACCGGCTCTTCACCACCCGAACAAACAGCGGTGGGTGAAACATCCACCTTAGTTAAGCATCCTTGTTTTCTGACGACGCCACTGCATGCCCGGAGAATTTGTTGACTTCGCCACTCAACTACTTATTTTTTGTGAGTATTTGCTGGAGGCCACGACAGGATATAAAGACGGTGCATAACACGCTTAAATACCTATCATTGCCTGTGAGTTCCCATAGAAAGCTGTTAGAAATTACGTTTGAGACTAGGACTGCAAATGAACCGAGCCGAGCCGAGTATGTGAGTGTTCATGTTTGTGTTCATTTAATATCAGCTTGTTCAAGTTTGGTTCATGTTTGTTCGAGCTTTATTGTTTGTGTTCATGTTTGGTTCATTTAAATTAATGAGTGTTCATGTTCGGTTCATGTTCGTTCGTTTAGTGCTTATCGAGCTTGTTCACGAACATATTTAACGAATTTTTTTTAACTATCAAACAAACACGTTCATGAACATATCTATGAACAAACACATTTATAATAAAAGCAATTGTCTATGTAACAAAGGCGATGATTATTTATATTTATTAATTCTATAGTCAAATATTAATTATTTTTATCGAGCTTATTCAAGAGTTCAAAATCAAACACGAATCGAGCTTTTATCGAGCTTAATGTCGAGCTTGTTCACGAACTTCAAATGATGTTGTTCACGAACATTAATGAGCTGAACGCATTAGTGTTCAAGTTTGTTTATTTAAGAATCAAGCATTTAAAATATTGTTCAAGTTTGTTTGTTTAGTTAATTAAACGATCACAAACGAGCTTTAATTGAACCGAACAACGAGTAGCTCGTCGAACGTTTGGTTCGCTTGTAGCCCTATTTGAGACACTTAAAAAGGAAATGAAATTACGTGAGATTATTTTTATGTGATTTCTATTTTACAATTGAATTAGTTTTAGAATTTTTAGAATTATAATTGAGATTAGTTTTATGATATGTGAAGATTATATTAATCATATTCTAAATTAAAAAATTTTGAAGTCATTGTAATACCTTTATATAATTTTTTTCATATCGTGCTAAAATTAAGATATTGAAGTGATAGCCAACAAAATTAGCTACAAATGGGGATTAATTAGCTGAATTAATTTTTTTCTAAGGATAAAACCCACCGGAACAAATTACAAGTACTTAATATAACAAAAATTCACTACAAATATATCATTTAAAATAAAATCTAAGAGCAATTGTTCTAAATTAATATAATAAGAAAACAAATAAAAATAAAACCACGACAATCACTGATGAAGAGCAATAGTATACAACCGAATTCAATAGAATGTCAGGCACGAGCAACCTGCAAAGAAACCTTGAGCATAATAGGCAGAAGAAACGAACCACGGCCCAACGCCAGGCTACAACAGCAACCTACAGGAGAATGAAACTCATTCAACTTTGTTAGTCACATTTAGGTCATCTTGATATATTGGTTAGGACTTTTGGCTATCAACTAATAGGTCATGGGTTCAAAATTTATCTTAATTGACTTAAATACCCCAAAAAATTGTCCTTGAATGATTTTCCATCAATACTATTGGATCTTCAACAATCCGTTTATGATGAAATATAAAATAAAGTCAATTGGCAGCTGCTCGCCATAGGTACTTTGGTCGCTCTTGTTAGTTGACCCATGTTGCTGCTCAGCAGTTGTCTCACCAACTAATTATCCAATGATTTGGGTCACAAATGTTGAATAAGGGTTCTTTAACGTTGAACCACAAAGGCACAAGCAGTTGCAATCACCCCATGATAACTAAACACGGAGTTTATAAAGCCTGATCATGACATCGTCAGAGAGATTTCATGGGATAAATGTGGCCATTATGGTGTAGCAATGGGGCCCAAATCATTCTCTTTGACAAGAATTAAAGAGAAGTAGAATTATGTTGCAGAGAAGGGGCTCAAAGCATTCTGTTTGATAATAATCAAAGAGAAATTTAATTTGATTGACCATACAAAGATGATAGAGAATAAATAAAACCACCACATATTAGAATACTGAATATATGTGATATATCATCAAGAAATCTTGATCGGGCACAAATCTCCAGGTAATTTTGAATTGCAAACTTTTGAAATTAATTCCAGGACCATCCAAACTCGAATTTCAGCAAACTTATAGTTGAATTAAATATCTCAATTAGACTTATCCAACGATACCAAATTCAATCCAATTTGTGCCCAAATGGGTCCAAATCAAGGAGCTGAAACACATTTAGAAGTCGCAAAGCATAAGTTAAATGACCAAATGACTTCCAAATGTGGCATGCTTAAATTCAACTAACCTAAGATCGTTGAATTCTAACATCATTAAGATTCTCAAATGTTTGATAAGTAGTTCATGATCAAGGTAATCAATATCGGTCATCTATCCGAAACACTTCGAATCTACTCTTGATCTACTCACTATTTACTAGTCATGTCACACCTCAAAAATTAAAGACAAAACAAAGAGTATCCAGATTATATTCCTTGCACTTAATGGTAGACCGTAGTCTCTCACCATATTTACAACAATGATATAGCCATTCATCACAACCACATCCATCTCACTTTTAATCGGGATGCCCTCCTCTTACTTTGTCATTGGTCAAATGATTTAGGTTAGGTCTTTGTTAATCACAGTTGTTTGGTTCTTGAACTCAGAATGCACATTAATTATTAGATCAAAGCTGCATTAAACTCTTGGCTAATATGGGACTCTAAATTGCCTTTAACTAATGACACTTAGAATGTATCATAATCAAACATCTATAAACTTTTTAACATATAAAACACATCAAACTCAATTATTCTACATTATATTTAGTAATTCTAACTTTATGATGGCTCAAGCATCACCTTTATTTAATAGTCACCTCTTTCTATAAGAATAATTTTTCTTGTTAAAAGACCATGCATTGATTGTCAAACCTAAGAGCATGCTCAAAATTGACCTTGCTCCTTTGTATGTTTCAACTTCCATTTCGTTAAATTAGGATAAGACACTCTCTATAACTTGATCAATCTTCTCATAGCTAAAAAGTATCCTTAAATATCTGCTACTTTTTTACTTATGCAAATGTGTAATTGAATCATAAAAATAATCTACTTTCATGATTTATATTTAGTAATTCATGACCTTCTAGCTAAATATACATGCATAGAATAATATAATATAAATCCATTAAAGAATACACATTTAAATTTGAATTAATATGTAGAAATTTATGCATATTCATTTTTTACATATCTACATATACATTTAGACTCGATATCATGCTAGCTCAATCAGACCCTAAACTCATTAGTCAAATTGTATGTCTATCTAAATTTCAAGTCATATTCATCCCAACTGACACACCAGTGTTTTTGTAATACCTTGAACCAAGAATGTCTATGATAGGAGCCAAAACTCTTAAATCATTAGGCTAAAATGGACCGTCACATTTCTATGTTAAGTTGCCATTATTTAAAATCTAGATTGAAATTATCCTCTTAGTAAACTTGGTACATAAAAGCAAAATCACCTAAAAGCTCATACAACTAACAACAAACTAGAGCCTCCAAACTCACTAGAAGCTAAAATCTCTGTAGCAACTTATTCTAATAGGCCAACAACTTACTCTATGCTCACAAGATGCTCATATATTAGCTGGAATAAACCAGTACATATATATATAGCTACGCATCTTACACTTTTTTTTTTTTTTTATAATTTCATAATGCCATTGCAACATTCATTTTCATGTGCCTCACACGTTCTCATGAATGATTAACAAACGCCAATAGAATATTATGACAATATTAAAGAAACATGGCCACCAGAACTATATCAGTTATTGGCCAGCAAGGAAGTCTTTGTTAGCCCTCAAATAGGTCTCCAAACTGGCCAATGATTTCTGGAAATTCATATTTATAATACAATTTCATCATTTGCTTCGCTGTTCCTCACAGCTGGTGAGAGCAGTACTTGTTTATTTTCTTGCTTGTGTCCAAAAGAAATATTAACTTCCGGACAATCATTTGACTAAATTAGACAAGAAATGAATTAATCATTATTTAAAAAGAATTAAGTGCCTAATCACAAGCAAAATTTATGTTAATCCTCAAACCTAATTCCCCTTACAGAAGATATTAATACTCTGAGTCAGCTGGCCAACCTTTTGAATACTTCTATAGTAAAACCAAAACGGATAACTTGCACCGTAGCTCAATTTAACGTTTATAGGTAACAGGTGTGATAATGAAGACCATTATTACTTGTAATGTTTCCAATGATTTCTGTATTCTGAAGAATATATTAACAAAAAGGGAGAAAAATCTTTTCATATAGTCTCCCAACGGCTAGTAAGAACAGATTTAAATTTGACGAAGTCTCCAACGGTTGGATGCTTCGTGTTAAAGAAACCGTTTGGAAGCTTCTCGCAGAACAGATCATAGCCAGCTCACGATAACGACCGTTGAATCGCAATCAGGCAGTCAATATTTTTAGAGGAGAAGATTCACTGATACACGGCGTTCACAGAATTGTTTTTTACAAACGCGGAGACAAGACTGCGAACACGGATGATTGCATCTCAATCACCGTACAAACTTGATCAGACGATCGCCATTGCTCCAGGCATGGCAATAACGCCAATTGCCTAACATTTTAATTTAAAATAACGGAGACGTGGGACGGTGGGACTCTAATAATTAAAATAAAATAAAAATTACAAAAGAAATTTGTGAAATAAAAATGTAAATTTTGCCTTTTTATAATTTGATTAAGAAGAGGAAGTTATAGGAAGAATTTAAAATAATAATAATAATGTATTTTCAGAAATTTTAAATTTTTGTCGTTTTTTGGCGTTTTCTTCGGCAAGGGGAATTAGGCGGTCCAACCAGATACAGCCATCTACTATTTTTTTATTTTCTTTGAGAAAACCTTAGCCCTGCCTCCCTTTAAATAGCCACCAAATCCCACCCTCTTATTCCATCATCGCAAAACCCTAGCCATCTCCCGTCTCTTGTTCGCCTACTCTACGCTTGATCTTTCGACAGAATCAAAAATCAAAGATGGCTCGGATCGCTCTAATCTCTCTCATGCTCTCTCTTGCAGTCGGAGCTGTTTTGGCCCAAGCACCCGGCGCCGCCCCCACCACCTCGCCGCCTAAGCTAGCACCCGTTTCTCCGCCCATACCAACCCCTTCGCCAAAAAAAGCCCCATCTCCATCTCCCCTCTCCCCTCCCTCTCCATCTCCCAAAGCACCAATCGTCGCCCCAGTATCCGCCCCTACGTCCCCTTCTCCGGCGACCACTCCCTCCAGTTCTGCTCCCACTCCTTCGATCTCGAATATTCCGGCCGCTTCTCCAACCGGAACTTCTGATAACAACGCTGCTGCTGCTGGATTGTCTTCCATCGGGTGGATCTCTGCCGCTGCAATCGCCGTCGCCTACGCGATCTAGATCTTTGGTGTTTTTGTATGAGATGATAGATGCATGTCTTCTCGTTCCTTTCCTGATCTGTGATTTGATATGTGATTTGATCTGATGGTAATTTTTTCGTATGGGTTCCATTATTTTCTTCTTCTTTTTTATTTTTATGTAATTTTGTAATCAGTAGTCGGTAGGCATGTGAGATTTGAGCGTGTGGTGGCCCTCGTGGGTTTTCTGTTGTACCTATTTATTTTACTGATTCTTTTTGTATTATTTTCACTTTGTTGTTTTTATGGTGCACTTATTTTATTATTATTATTTTAATTTAAAGATTTTCATAATTAAGATAATATTGGGACATTTTAAATTTTCTATGGTTAAAAAAATAAGATATTTCATAAAAGCAAGATATTTTGAATAAATTAAGCTATTTTGCATTCAATCCAAAACAATGCAAGTAGTGGAAATACATATTGTTTATATATATTTTTTTAAATTAGATAATATTATCTACTTAAATTAAATTATTTAATTGAGTATAATATTCTTTAAAAAAAAAAACTGGATTGGAATCCTCTCCAATTATAAATGTGATAAATGGAACTTGAATAGGTATAAATTCCAAACTCTCAATTAAATTTAATCAAACTAGGAAAGAAATCTATTCAAATTTGTTCAATAATTATAATGAGCCTAAGCAATGGCTTAATTTTAAATAAAGCACGTTTTTTATTTTAACAATCATGATGTATTTAGGATACAAGTTGCATGATTGAAGTGGAGGAATGTATTGGGTGTTGCAGAGATGAGGATGCTCATGTGGATAAGTGACTTCACGCTTAGAGATAGAATGCGAGTTGAGTATATACATGAAAAGGTTGGAGTAGCTCTAATTGTAGATAAGATTAGAGAAAATTGCTTTAGATGATGTGGCCACATAAAATGTCGGCCTTTTGATGATCTGATTAGGAGAGTGAATATATTAGATGTAGCATATGTTAAGAAAAATAGTGGTAAATCCAAGAAGGGTTGATTAGAATGTATTAGGAATGGTTTTTTTTTATTAGATGTAAATGAGAATCTTACTCTTAAGAAGACAATGAAGAAAAAAGATTCAACTAACTAACATAGTATAGCGTAAGTGAGTTGAGATGGTTTCAACTCGACTCGTTAATGAACTCACGAGTTGAGCTAATTGAGCCACGAGTTCGAGTTTTAGTCTATAGTCAAGCTCGTATATTATATGAGCTCGAGTACGAGCTCAAGTAGGCTCGTCTTGTATGCTTGTCAATTTACTTATTTAATTTTAAATATATTTAAAATATATTTTTTAAAAAAGATATGATAACTTATGTACTAAATAATTTTAATTATTTCACGAAACCTCGAGCTTTCTTAATGAACTCTAGTTTAATAATTTATGAAAGAGCCGAGCTCAAGCTCAATAAACGAGCTCGAGTTGAGCTAAGCTCAACAAGAGTTAAACAAGCTTAACTCGATTACCCATATACTCGATTTGACTTGATTGCACTTCTTTACACCATATCATGGAATAAATGCTTGATGTTATTAATTCACACATTATGTGATAAATGTTTGATATTGTTGAGGATTCACCTGAAAAAAATCGTCTCAAAATATTTTGATTTTTTTTTTAATTTTTTCCGTAAGATGTTTTAAAATTGTTAGGTTGATCAATATAAATTTTGAATGATTTTGTATGTAAATATTGATTTTATTTTAAAATAAATTAATACAACTTTGGTTAGAATATTGTAACTTAACTTTTTTTTCTTAATACGCATTATAGAGTTTAAGTACTTTTTCCACCGCCTTGAGAAAAAGGTTGACAACAAATATTTTTAAAATTAATTTTCCCAAAAAAAAAAAAAAACAAATATTTTTAAAATCCTTGAAAGGAGGAGCCGGCTGCCAGCGAAATCGAACATTCCAGATGTTTTTTGTGGCTTTATTTGATTATAATTCGTTTATTTTATTAAAAGTTCTAGTATTTTTTAAATACTCTAGTGTTAAATAATTAAATTTGAATAACTTATTCTTCAACTCATTTATAATCATGAATAAATTATTTAAAGCTAGTGAACAAATTTTTAATAAAAAAAAAACTTGTTTAAAAGTTAGATTAATATTTGATATGAAGTTCGTGAATAGACTCATTAATTAATCGATTCAGTTCGTTATAAAATTTATGAACAAAATTGATATACTATTGAAAAGTTTTCTTGACCGGGCATGAATCTCGAGGCAATAATCAAGTTGGAAACTTCAAAAATTAATTCAGAGCTTGTCTCAACTAAGATTTCAGCAAACTTATGCTCGAACTGAACGTCTTAGAAATACGAACCCAACGACACAAAATTCGATTAAATTCGAGATCAAATGAGTCCAAATTAAGGACCCGAAGCATTTTGGAAAGTTTGAAACATAATTTGAGTTACCAATCGGTTTCCAAACATGTCGTGCTTATAGTCGAATTGAGTGGCTCGACGAGACAAATCCAACGAGCCCAAGATCGCCAAATTTCGATATCATTAAGACCTTTAAATATCCGACGAACGATACATGATTAAGGGATTCAATATTGGCTGTCCATCCGACCACTCCCTATTTACCCCTCATCTCTCACCTATTTATGGGTCATGTCATCCTTAAAAATCTATAAATAGCCCCTCATTTCTCTTGAGAGAGGAGCCAAGGGCCAGGACCCAAGGCCCAAACAAGAGAAGAAGGAGAAGAGAAGAGAAAAAGGATAAGAGGGAAGAAACTCCTCCTCGATCACTGCTGCCGGAATTTCGCCCGACCTCCAAGCGACACCTGAATTCCACACGACCTCCAAGCGACGCAGCAATTCCACCCGACCTCTAAGCAACGCCGGAATTCCGCCCGACCTCCAAATGACGCCGAAATTTCGCCGGACCCCCAACTGACGCCAGATTTTCCCCCGAAGTACTCCAATTGACGCCGGAGTTCTACCGAATGTCATCTAACGCTTGAGTTTTCCTTGGCCGCCAACTGACGTTGGACTTCTACCCGACGCCGGAACTCTGCTCGTCGACAAGTTTCTTCCCGACATCGGACTTCTACTAGTTGTCAAACTTTTGTCGGACATCTATCCGATGCTGGATTTCTGTCCATTGTTGGACTTCTACCTGTTGCCGTCCTTATAACCTTTATCGTCAAACAACGGTCCTTCTGACTTACGTCGCCTGCTTACTACAGTCATTCTGACCTCCGTTGCCAGCCGACTACGGTCCTTCTGACCTACGTCGCCCGCCGACTACGTAAAAATCTTAGTGACTCTAGTGAATGTTGCACCCTCTCTTTTTATCTGTGTGTGCTGGATTTCGTACAATTCTAAGACATTAAACTTTATATCTCTCTTCCGCCGCAAATACTCCAGGACGCAACAAAACTAATTTTAAAGTTATTATAATTTAATACCATTTTTAATATTTATTAATAAATTATAATTTATTTAAACATATCTTTCAAAAAACCTCACTCTTCTCTCCTAAAATAACACCTCTAGAAAACGAGAAATTTTTACACAGTCTGGACATAGAGAGTTGTTCTGTTTTGTGACTGTGAACAACAAATGTATAAATACTGTTCACAATTGTGCTTTTGTTATTCACTTCTTTGCTTTTATTGTGATTTTACTTTTCACAATCACAAAACCGAACAGTTATCTGTATTCAGACTCTGGTGGAAATGCTTGCTCTTGTTGGTGGTCTTAAAACTATTGATGCTCTTGCTATAATGAAAATTTTGATAAATAGGCTATGTCCACTTTGTGATAGGTTGCCCTTAGAGTAGCAGGCAACCGTTTTTTCAATGTGATTTATCACATAATCTCTTAAGAAAAATTCTTCCTATATTTCCTTCTTTTTTGCTACCTCCTAAGATTTTTTTATTTCGTGGATGATAATGTTGATAATAATGCTTAAGTTGCAAATGCTCATACACTTGGAATTTTATGACTCGTTTATTATATTTGGAAAGAATGGAGTGATATAATTTCTAATAATTCCTATCACACATTTACTTATCTTTATTATCATATCTCAAGATCTATCTTTCTAAAACCAAAAGGCTAGAAAAACTACAATGACATCAAGATTTTTATTGGCTAGCAAATATGTTTTTATTCAGTTTTAATTCTTCTGTTGTCCCCTTTCTAAGAAAGATAGGACTAAATTACTTAGCTCGTAAAATTCGAAAAATTATTAGGTGCGGAGTGCAGACGGGGTGAGAACCGTCTGCACAGACACAGAGTAACGAGCGGTACCCAGCGGTACCGAGTGGTACCGAACGGTATCGAACACTGTTTTATACTAGTGTACAGACGGTTCTCCCGTCCGCACTCCGTACCTAATAATTTCTCGTAAAATTCACATAGGCGGTGGAAGCAGACAAATTAATAACAATTAATATTGGCGGAATTTTAAAGATTTATTTTTACAATTTTGTTAAATTAACAACTTATTTTTTAATCCGTAAGCTTATTGGCCTCGACAAGCTATCCAATCAGACAATAATTTTTACCTCAAATTAGGGGAGTAAATATTGGACCAGACTAGAATCTGACCCGAAAATTTTGGATTTGGGTTGACCCGAACCCAAAGCGGGGCGGGCTCGGTTCTGGAAAACCGACCCGTTTGAAAAACAGAGTCGGGTTCGGGTTGACACGAAAACCCGGGAATAACCTGAAATGACTCGGAATAACACATAAGCTCGTCTGCTCGAAATGACCCCGCCTCGACTGCCCGGTTGCCCCGGCTGCCCTGCGTTAGTTCTGCGTGATGGTTACGGGTCCTGCATTCGAGCGCGCCCTGCGTCCCGCATCAGTTCCGCATTGCACGTCCCGCTTCCGTCGGCTTCAGCTGGCTTCAATTGTCGTCGCCCCGTCGGCCCACTGCTATCGCGGGGCAGTTCCGCTTTAGTTGCCTTGTCCGCGGGTCTGGTTCGGGTCCACAAAATCTACCCGTTTGCAAAAACGAGTCGGGTCGACCCAAACCTGAAAAATGCGGGATCAATTTTGAGTCTGACCCGAATCGGACCTGTTACCCGAAATTTACTCAGCTATCTCAAATCATTCTTCAGTACGGACCCCCGACAATATTACACAGACAAAATAAAAAATAAAAAGCTGGCTGGCTCTTTCCGAAAGAGACGACAGCTCACATAGGCTGCAAAAGCCACTTTGGCTCCCACTCATAAAAGTTACACAATTTCTTTTCTGAAAAAAATCTCACTATACATTTTTTTTTGGGACATTTAGGTCATTTAAGACAAATTCACACACACAACGCATACACATGGACTCGAATCTTGAACCTCTTAGTTAGAAGCCTAAGTTCTCAACCAATAGGCCAAAGAGAATTGTGTGTCTCACTGTACCTCAAATTTTTTTTTTTTTTTGGGAATAATTGGGCTTAGCCCTTGTATTGAAACAGCAAAAGATACATCAGTAAGAGAAGAGACCTCAAATGAACTATGGGTGGTATGTATGTAATATTAAAGTTTTAGGTGTTAAATATGTAAATAGAATAGTATTAAATTGTATGTATGTAAATCTCCCAAAAAAAAAACCAGCTCCCTAGCCAAAAAATACTAATATATGAAGTTACGAACAAAACAAAGCACTGCCTCCGGCCTGACTAGTCTTTAGAGAATACTCAGAATGAGCAGGCTCAACAAGTAGGCCGACACCAATGATTGAGCGTTCCGGTGTCCAGCGGAGGTGTTGGTTGGCTTTTTACTTTCTGCGGGGCTCGACGAAGCCGCCTGGGTTGGGGCTGGGATGGTTGAAGAAGCCAAGGGAGGGGTGGGCGAGGGGGAGGGGGAGGGAGAAGGGGAAGAAGACGATGCATTGACGACGGTCACGGCGAGCTTCATCCCTGAGCTTCAATGACCAGGAATGCTGCAAACGAAGTAATGGGTGCCGGCCTTCTTGAGGCGTATTGTTGTTGAGCCGCTGCTGTCAGTGGAAAGGTAGTTGCTTGCTGTGCAGCTCTTGTAGTCTTTCGCCTTCACCTCGTTGACGGTGTGTGTTGCAGGTGCGTAGTTGAAGGCTGCCATGAATTAATTAACAAAGCAGAGTATCTATCATTCATTCGTTTGTGCGTAATAAATATTCTTAATCGATCTAATACGTAGATGAACCATAAGCTTTCTATGCATTTGAGCATGAAACACAATGCAACTTTGAAGCTTTGTTAATATAATTTTCTATTATTTTTTTCAAATATAAGATATGTGATAAAAATGTACTAACACAGACTATCTCCAACGACAAATATCTTCCCGTTTGTCCATGAAGAGAAATCGACACCAGCAGTCCATCCAGACGACTCCCCGACTATGTACTCAGTGGCCGAGGTCAATGCAGCTCGATATAAGAGAAGAATGGCTCCCATTACTGTGCAAGTAGTGCGACTTGCCATCTTTTGCCACTCAGCAAGCGAGAGAGAAGAGAGAGAAGCCAAGAAGATGAAGGACGCTAATTGTTTTTGAGAGGAAAGAGGGATCCCTATATAAAGATCTGGCGTTATTTTATTCTAAAGTAATAGAATTTCTATTATTGCAGTTTGTGCTTAACTGTCTGCAATTGATGATGAGAGAGACCTAAGAATGACTCTATGCCTGATCGATCTGATTGAAATCTTCGCTGGCAGCATCGTGCTTTCTAACTCAGTCATGCTTTTTAGGGGCCATAACATCGACAAAAGGTTGTGAGTGGTAAATAGTTTGGCTTAGTCAACGGTTTGCTAGTTATTAGATGGCCATAGGCCATGACCAATTATGTTATCATACTTAGATAAAGCCTTGTGAACTAAATTTTGTTACATTAAAGGTTATCAGTCAATGTTTTAATTGATATATCATCAAATAATTTTCTTGATCAGGCATGAATCTTGAAGCAAAATCAAGGTGGAAACTTTCGAAATTAAATTTGGGATCATACGAACTCTGATTTAAGCAAACTTACAATCGAACTGAATGTATCAATATTATGAACCCAATGACACCAAATTCGGCTCAATCAGATATCAAATGGGTCCAAATCGAAGACCAGGAGCACATTCAGAAAGTTCTGACCATAATTTGGATTACCAAACGGTTTTCAAACGTGACATGCTTATAATCGAATACAGCGGCTCGGCAAGACGAATCCAACAAACTCTAGATCGCCAAATTCTGATATCATTAAGACATTCAAATCCCTAATAAACAGTCTATGATCAAGAGAATCAACATCGGCAATTCATTCAAACCATCCACAATTTGCCCTTGAACTTTCTCCTATTTACTGATCATGTCACTATCAGAAAATTATAAATAGATTCCTCATATTCATTGAAGAGTTGAGGAAGAAGGGGCCAAACAATGAAGAGGAGGAGAACAAAGAAGAGAAATTGGAGTTATCTTGCCATCCGACTCCTCCTCGACCACCGCCCGGACTTCCACCCGACAGCTGACTAATGCCGGACTTCTTCCCAGTAGCCGATCGAAGCCAGATTTCTGGCCAACCACCAACTAACGTCGGATTTCTTCCCAGCCATCAATGATGTCGGACTTCGGCCCGTCACCGATTTCTATCAAACACAAGACTTCCGTCCATCACCGGATTTCTAGCTGACATCGAACATCCACCCGACATTGAACTTTCACCAGTCTCTGGACTTCTGCCTGTTGCCGGACTTTCGTCGGACTTTACCCGACGTAGAACTTTCACCTATCGCTAGATTTTTTATCCATCGTCGTACTTTTACTTGTCACCGGACTCCTATCCAAGACCAGATTTTTTCTCGAAGTCAGACTTCTTCCCGTCGTCGGACTTGTACCAGATATTGGATTCCCATCCATTGCAGGATTTCTACCCGACACTGGATTTCTGCTAGTTAATGGTCTTTTCGACCTCCTTCACCAGACAACAGTCGTTCTGACCAATGTCAACCATCGACTACGGTCCTTTCGACCTACGTCGCCCGCTAACTACGGACTTTCTGACCTCTATCCCTTGACAACGGTCCTTCCGATCTCAGTCACCAACCGACTAAGATCCTTTTGACCTCTATCACTAGACAACGATCTTTATGACCTTCATCGTCGCCCACTGACTACGGTCCTTCTGACCTCCGTCACCCGTCGACTACGGTTCTTTTAACCTTCGTCGCCATATAATGTTCTTTCTGACCTCCGTCGCCTACTGACAATGATCCTTCCGACCAAACGAACACGTCAACAAACTTTGTATTATGTATATTTGTTACATCAAGCTAAGACCTTCCCTCCCAATACAAGGCCTCATTTGTAATCAACTGCAAAATACTAGTAGATTCATTCAAACTGGGCTAGGCCCTGTGATTTTTCTCTTTTTAGAGTTTTCCACGTAAAAACCTTGGTGCCTTTATGAATATTGCACCGTCTCTTCTTATCTGTATGCGTTATGTGCTTGATCTTTATATAAAGCTAAGACGTTAAACTTTATAACTCTCTACCGCTGCGAATATTTCGGGACGCAACAAAGATTATCTGAAAGATTAATATCATGTGATTATATAATGATGAATTATTACTTTCATGTCTTTAGTTTTTAAGAAATATTATGGTATATAAATAGAGAGAGATCCTATAATGACATAGTATAGGTTTAAGAAGAAAAAAAACAATTATTTCTCATCGGGAACCCTACGTCAGAAAGGTCATGATGAAAATGGCTGGACTGTTCGACGATGACGAACCGGCCCATGATGCCGTTGATGGTGATCAACGTTAGATTGAGCTTGTAAATAGCAATTGGACCGAGAAAGCGAAGCCTGCGTGCTGATGTTGTTTAGTGGGCCACAAATTCGTTACTAAGCCCACAGGACCAAGAATAATTTTAAAAAGCCCACAAACTAGAACGCACTAGTAAACCGTACGCCAACCGGAAAACCTACCTTTGTCTATGAATTCAAACAACTACTTTTCTACATGTAGCTTACATTGATTTACCGTAAGCTTTTTTCTGAGATGAAATTCTGCACCTAAATAAAATGATTAATTTCGTTTTACGTAGAGAAAATTTAAAATTATTTAGTTTGATTAATATATTTTATAAGTTTTCAGTAAACGTTCAAGTTAAATAAATTTGTTGGCTTTCTATAATCATATGACGAATGCAATTGTTCTCATGTCTGCAATGTAATTTTTGTACATCATCAATAAAACCTATGCATAAGCCACGTCTATTGTGGGCTTTGTTGGTTTATTGTGAAATATGATTGTGCAGATAAATAGAATATTGTTGACTCACATCTTAATTTCATATGTCTAGTATGACGAAGGACTTGTTGGGGATTTGTAGGGGGCAGTGTGCCCTTGCAAGGGGGTATTGAGGGCGAAGGGCTTGAATTTTTTTTTTTTTTTTCTGTATAGCATCATGATTCAATGTGAAGGCGTTATGGGTCCCCTTTGAGATAGACGCCTCAGTGCCGAAGCATTGTGATTATAGCTAGCGCTACACTGCTATGGACCCACTATGAGACAAAATTCAACTGAACAGTCTGCTGAGTTAGTTTCATTCTAATAGTTTTTCTGTGATTGTAACTTCAAAAAGGTGTGTATATGTGTGCGTGAAAGGATATGAAGAATGTGAGAGAAGGAGAGAGTGAGATCTCAAAAATTTATCGTTTTACCACATATTATGTAGCATAGACACATTTTAGGTCTCCTAATGAACAAAATTATTTGTAGGGAAAGCAAAACTCATAGATGTTATATTTAAAAAGAAATTATGATCCATTGTTTGGAATTGATCATAATTTATTTTTGCAACCAATTTATCAATCCATATCACTTTCTAGATCGATTTAACTTCAAATTTTAAATTTTATATTATAAATGTAGGATCTAGGAGGAAGATCTTGAGAGCTCATCTTGAGCTCTTCTTGCAAGAGAGAGAGGGAGGAGAGGGAATACACATAATTTGGAGGAAATAAAACTAAGTTTATTCAGATTTTCTCCCAAATCAATACAACATACAATGCCTCTATTTATAGAGATTACATTGTTGTGGTAATCGAGGGAATAACTTAACCTAAAATTAAATCAATATATAATAATCTCTACTTTGATTTAGTTTTACAAAAAATAAAGAACCACTCCTCACAAGAACTCGAACTTGTTGCAAGCCAACTGATAGCCCTGGACACCTGTCCGCGCTCATACCTGCGACTTCGTAAGATCCACCTGTCCAATCCCAAGATCTCGACAATCTTGCCTCCCAGAGATTCTTGATGCTTCAACATGCTCCTATAATTCACCACCTTGGTCGAAACTCTACCTGAATATAAATCTCTACATTCTCCCTCATTTAAGCCTGACCGAACAACCCAAGGATAACAGGTTCTTCTCCACATGTTTCTCCTCTAGCTTCAGACTCGCATACTGATCAATCCAGTCGTTCTTTCTGCGCCTCGTGCCCGCGCCCTGAGTCTCCTGCGCCTTGCACTCGTGTGGTCTGACTCTGACCACATCCTACGCGTATCCACCCGTGCACCGAGCCCTGCACCTTCACCTACGCTCCGCTCATCACAATCTCACACCCTGCACGTACACCGACGCACGACCTCGCACCTCCAAGCGCCCCACACTCCCGGCACTGCTCCTTAAGAACAGGACTACTCTACCTCACAGATCCAAACTGATCTTTCACTGCAATCTTGAATCCGAAACCTTCACTTCGCCTCACATACTCGGACAAATTACCTTCCGTTCGCCAGTCCGATTCTTGTCAAACAGCCAAAGCCGCAGTATCGACTTTGTATCTTGCGATCAAAGCTCCTCACTGTTCCCTTTCTTGAATCAAGAAGCTGCAAAAGCCTCCAAAAATAAGTTCGACCTTCTTGGACAAATATGCCAGATCCTGTTTCTCCACCCGACGAATGGCATACTTGGAATCCTTATAGGCAATCACAGTTCTCATTCTGTTTCAAACACAATGGGAGAAAACGCAATAACAGAGCAATTATAGCCTCCGTGAGAGCCGCAAACTTCATCTGCTCCGCGAATGAATCTTTCTTATTCC